GAAACTCATGTTGTAGGAACTTTTTGACACGGGTCGTGTCATCCAACACGACCAGCCGTGTCATCCAACACGACCAGCCGTGTCAGGCCCCCTTCTTTTTCACTTTTTGTGATATTTTACCTTCAAAAAAAGTTTTTCAAGGAGTTCACACGGCGAACTCCTTGATGGCACTTCATGCCATTTTTTGTGTGTTTAGTGTTGTTTTAAGCCGACTAACCCGTTGTGTTTGTATGGTTTTTGTGCGTGTTTATTGTTGGTCATTTTTGACCTTTGGTTCCAAAAGCTATTTTCAAGAAAACAAACTCTCCATTCACATCGAGCCATTTTTGACCTTGTAAGTCGATGGCCTTGTGCATCGCCATCAACCTTGTTCGCATCACCTCAAACTTTTTAAGCAATCAAACCTTTGATCCAACATCAAACGGATTTTCTCAAACAATTGTTGAACCAATTCACCACCTTTAATAAAAGGATAAAGTTCTCTTTGTCTTGAACTAAAGATAGAGGATTGAGTGTAGACTTCTTCCTCTCCGAGTATCGGGATACTCGTTGTAGAGTGTATAGTCTCAATACTCGTCTTTCAATACAAAGACGTTACCGTATTTGCCACTCCCTTTTGCTCATAAAACCTCGGTCCCGCGCCGAGTGCATTTTTAAACCTTTTTCTCCCAAAACCTCGGTCCCGTACCGAGTACATTTTCAAAAAACACCTTTCAATAAGAAATTCGATTTCTCTTTGTATTGAACTAAAGAGAGAGGATTTAGTGTAGACTTCTTCCTCTTCGAGTGTCGAGATGCTCACTGTAGTGTGGGTGGTTTCGATACTCGTTTTTCCATACGAAGTCGTGAATTTTTCCACTACCCCTCTTTTCACAACTTCTTTTCGCAACCTTTTTTCCTAAAACCTCGGTCTCGTACCGAGTGTATTTTCAAATCATTCTCATAACAAAAACTTGAATGGTCGTGGAGTGGTTAGGCGTAGGCCTTCTCCTATCCCGAGTGCTTGACATTTACTGTAGGGTTTACCGTCGCAAAGCACTTACCATTCAAAACCAAAAACATTTTAATAAGAGAATGAAGTTCTCTTTGTATTGAATTAAAGAGAGAGGATTGAGTGTAGACTTCTTCCTCTCCGAGTGTCAAGATATTCATTGTAGTGAGTGTGGTCTTGATACTCGTCTTTCAACACGAAGACGCTATGTTCGCCACACCATTTCATAACTAAACCTAATCTTTCAAAAAAGGATATGTTACGTCCGTTCTACCGCAAACAGGTAACGCCTAAGTCTCCAATGGTCGAGTAGCAATATGCCTAAACTGCTAGAATGCGCACGATAACATCATCCATGAAAACATCGGTTAACCTTTATCCCGAACTACGTTTGCTCTAATTTCTCATGCCAGATGAGAATACGTAGGCACAAGACGACAATGTCTTGGCGAGCACAACCCCCCTATCACCTGTAGTTTTTCGAACTACATCGACTCTGACTTTCTCATATCTGTTGAGAATACGTAGGCCTAGGACCACGAAGTCCTATCGAGTCCTTTCTTTCCCTCTTTACCTCCCCTTCCCCAATTTCTAACCTTTCTCTTTATCCCTTTGAAACACTCATTTAGAAATAATCGTTTAGCAAATACCTTCACACATCGACAAACAAATGGTTCCCATTGAGTACGATGGATACGAGGGGTGCTAATACCTTCCCCTCGCATAACCGGCTTCCGAACCCGTTCTTGGTCGCGAGACCATCTTATCCATTCCTTTCTTAGGGTTTTCTCGATGTTTTCCCTTCCCCTCATGGGATAAATAAACTTTGGTGGCAACTCTTCTGTCTATCTTTTCGCCTTCCCCGTCGTTGCTCTTTTTGAGTAGCGATAGGGTTGTCTGGATTATTTCAAAATTCTGGATCCGAAGCGAGTTAAACTCTCTAGTAGAGAATATGACTGTGTATTAATTGGGTATGCAACAAACAATAAGGCCTATATAAGTGTTATGACCTAAATGCTAAAGTGATTATAGAATCCAACGATGTTGAATTCTACAAAGACAAATTTCCTTTCAAATAGAGAAATAGTAGAGGTATTGAGTAAAATCACATTCTTGTGATAAAAAGTACCGAAAGCAACAACAAATTAAAAATAGAACTTCGAAAAAATAAATGAGTAAGAGTTTATAAATACTATGGGCCATATTATATGTCCTATAGAGTAGAAGAAGATCCAACAAATCTTCATGAAGCCTTGTCATCTATGGATGAGGATTTGTTTCAAGAAGCTATTAACAGTGTGATAGATTCTCTAGAATCTAGTAGAAGCTAACACTAAGTAGACTTGTCTCTTGCTTGCAAACTAATCGGTTGTAAATGGGTTTTGAAAAATAAACTAAAACCTGATGGAATACTTGATAAGTACAAGGCTCGCCTTGTCGCCAAAGGTTTTAGGCAAAGAGAAAATATAAGTTTCTTCGATACTTTTTCTCTAGTTACTCGAATTACATCCATTAGAATACTAATTTCAATTTTTGTTATTTATAATTTAATAGTACACCAAATGGATGTTAAAATAACTTTTTTAAACAATGACTTAGAAGAAGAAATCTATATGGACCAACCAGAAGGGTTTGTAATTCATGGGCAAGAAAACAAGATCTGTAAGTTAGATAAGCCTTTATATGGTCTAAAACAAGCTCCTAAGTAGTGGCATGCAAAATTTGATAACTTAATGATATAAAATGGGTACAAAGTGAATGAAAATAACAAATACGTTCATTACAAATATGAGAATCGCATTTGCACCATCCTATGTCTTTATGTAGATGATCTACTCATATTTGGATCAAATATTCAAACCATTAATGATGTGAAATAATTGTTGAGCAACAACTTTGATGAAAGACCTCAGAGAAGCAACTGTGATTATTGGAATCAAGATCACTAGATCTGAAGAAAAAAAGAATTTCTTTAGATCAATCTCATTATGTAGGTATGATCTTAAAGAAATATAACTACTTTGAATGTAATCCCACTTGCACACTATACAATCAAAGTATCAAACTATTTAAGAACGCATGTGATAGTGTCACACAAACACAATATGCTAGCATAATTGGAAGTCTTAGGCACGCCACTAGTTGTACTAGACCAGACATTGCATGTCGTAGGATTGTTGTGTAGGTTTACTAGTATATTGAGTAATGAGCATTGACAAGCTATTGAGATATTAATGTGGTACCTTAAAAGAACCATGAATCTCAATTTACATTATTAGATATTTATTGATGTACTTGAAGGATATAGTTATGTGGGTTGGAATACCTTATCAGATGATTCCACAATAATTAGTAGCTATATATTTAATATAGCTGGAAAGTTGTATCTTGGAAATTAAAGAACACTCTATCTTAACATTCTCCTATATTTTTACTTAGACATTTCTTTACTTTATTTTGATTATTATTATGTTTTATTATTTTTTTATATTTTATTTTATTTTTGGTTTAATTTGATTTTCGCACTTCATTTTTCAGCTTTAGCAGTCTGCGCGGAAACGATCATAACTTGAGTTCCGGAAATCCGTTTGAGGCGTTCTGAAAATAGCCGGAAAGCTAAGAGAGAGAGCTACGACTTTCGTGTTGGAGTCAAAGTCAGATTCAGAGCATAGTTTCTCAGAATATCCATTGAAGTTACAGCATTAGGAATTTGTTTTAGTTTTGGGTCATGTTTTGGGTCTGAGTTATATTTTCGACCCAGTTGGGTTTTGAACCGGATCCATTGTTTTTCTTTTTAGGGAAAACCTTATTTTAATGTTAAATATATACTATTCACGAAAAAAATTGAAAAGGAGGTTTGAGAAGAACTCATGGAAAACTAATACCTCTGGGCAAATCCTGTTGTGTACGGTTTCAACACTTTGAGGTTATTATAATATCAATTTAAATTTGATTCCTTTCAATCCTTTTCTATGAAGTCATTATCTTAATTTGATTGCAATTGCTTGCTTAATTCAATTGTTGTTCATAGGATATAATTGGTTAAATTCGATTGTATGCATGTTCGTAAATTTAATTGCGTGTTATCGTTTGCTTAATTCGTTAATTCGTCATATTCTTAACCATTTGTTTAATTCGGTAAACAGGAACATAATTCATTTGATGTTGATAAGCGCTTATCTGATTAATATCATAATCGAATAGGATTGGTACCGCTTACGGATTGATGTTATAATAGCCGATGATAAGTCGGAACCCGAATCAGTAGGATTAGCCGTTTTAGCTTATTTTAATAATCACTTTTTTTATAGTCACTTATTTTAAGTATTTTTTCTCTTAATCAAAATTCAAACCCCCATAAACTGTTACTTTATTGGTCAATCACTACAAGAATCCTTGAGAACGATATTCTGAGTTACTGTCGTTGTACTATAATTTTTACAAAACTAGATAAACATCTTACAACTCATTAATAATTAAGTCGAGTCTATCGAAACTATTTAATAATTTATGTAGAGAAAATTAAGCTAAACATATCTAGCCATTCGCAATTTTAGTTGTTTTCTATATCACAAGTGCAAACAATTTAAAAAGTTTTGCAAGAATATATGTTGGAGTTATTGAATTTGAGTAATATTACTAAACATTAACTAATAAAGTGATATATACTTGCATAGTTAATTTGAGATTTTAACCAACCATGCACTAAAATATGCTCATGCTAGAGACAGAATAATAAAATAACGAAAGAAATATGGTTTGCATAGATTGAATTTGTGTAATATTACTAAACATAACTAATAAAGTGATATATACTTGCATAGTTAATTTGAGATTTTAACGTATCAAATAACCAACCATGCATGCTAGAGACGTTTACGAAAGAAATATGGTTTGCATAGATTGAATTTTTGTTACATTGTTGAGACAGAATAATCAAATTTTAAAAAACAAGAATTTACAAACACAAGAACTTCAGAACAATTTCTATAAGAACATGTTGCACTCTTTAGTATCTTGTACTCTTGTGAGTCTTGCTTCTTTTTGTATCCTCAAGGTCCCACATATCCTTCAATGACTTCCATTTGTGTTCAAAATTCTGACTGAACTTTTTTGCAATTTGATAAATATGATTCCTTGGAGGATACATTAGCATTGCATTAGAGAACACAAGTCTTATGTCACTAGCAAACTCATCCGGTGTTGCATACAACCTCAACTTTCTCTCTATTTCCTTCAAACCTATTGTCTTTATCTTACACTTATCAACCATTGCTATTTTTGGAGGATCTTTCAAATCCCAACCATCTCTATCTACCAACATTCTCTTCAAAATCAACCAACATTGCCTCCTCCTAACACACTCCATCGGTTGTTTCAACCCACATTCTTCAACTCTTGTCACAAAGGCTGTTTTTGATGAATCCTTCGTGTTATTCTTTGGTTGAGACAAAGGTGTTCGGTTCTTGATCATTTTGTTATCCTTTGGTTGAGACGAAGGTGTTGGGTTCTTGATCATTTTCTTGTTTTCAACAACATTGTTATCCTTTGGTTGTGTTGGGTTCTTGATCATTTTCTTGTTTTCAACAAGATTGTTATCCTTTGGTTGAGACAAAGGTGTTCGGTTCTTGATCATTTTGTTATCCTTTGGTTGAGACAAAGGTGTTCGGTTCTTGATCATTTTCTTGTTTTCAACAACATTGTTATCCTTTGGTTGTGTTGGGTTCTTGATCATTTTCTTGTTTTCAACAACATTGTTATCCTTTGGTTGAGACAAAGGTGTTGTTTTGGAAACTTGGTTCTCGATCATCTTCTTGTCTTCAACAACATTATTATGCTTTGTTTCAGACAAAGATGTTGTTTTGGTACGGTAATCTGAATCAACCCAATAACAGGTTACATTTGGTTTTACAGAATCTTGAATCTTTCTTCTCTTGTTTTCATTTGTGCCGCACGAATCTGAATCGCGTTTTCTTGAACCTGGAGGATAACTGAGTTTGACGATAAGTCTCTTACGAGGTTCTGTGTTCAAAGGGTTTGTGTTATGTGACGTGGATGTTGAAGCAGACATCATCGTGCAGTAAAAAAAAAGAAAATTAGTAATGTTTGGAAAGATGACTATAAAGAAAATTATTCACTGCATATATAATGCCATCAATAAGATTTAGTTGGAGAATTATATGGATAATTAGATTTTATTTAATCTTATCCATATTAGGGATTCATTATTAATACTTGATATAACTTTAAAATTCAATCTTTTTTTTTTCATTTTAATTATTTTTAAAATTTTTATCATGAATGAGTCGTCCCAAAAAGCAAAAGGAAACAGTCTTTTATTTTTTATGAGAAGTTGTTTTGACTAACTTCTCATTTGATTATTTTTAAAACCTCTTAAATTTTATAACAAAAAAAAATTAAATTTTTAAATTTCTTTTGTTTTAAAAATTGTCACAAAAAAGTGCAAAGGTCATTTAAAAAATAAGTCTTTAAATATTAATAAATCTTTTTACAACTGAATAATTTTAATTTATTATTTTATTTTTGTTTTAAAATTATTTATTTAAAATTCAAATATTTAATAAATATATTTAAATAGAAATCTTTTTGTATGTCCAAGGACAAACTAAAAATAAATATAAGATATTTTACACTATTTATCTGGAAATTGTGACACTCATATCTTGAATAATCCTTTATTTTTCTTTAACAACATTTTACATTGATAAACTTTCTCGCCAATAATTAATGTCTATTTAGATTTTATTTTTACAATAATAAATATTCTAAAATTTAATTAATTTTGTTCACTCTCCTTTATTTGCACGGAAAATCCACAAAATTTAAAAAGCTAGTATTTTCTCCAAAACTATATAGATGTAACATTTATATAATAAAAATTCATCATAATAAATTTAATTATGTATTTCAATATATTTATAGCACACTAAACTTAATTTTTGAACCATTTGCCTTTTGCGCAGCCAGAATCAAGTTTTAGTCTAAAAGTTATATTGTCGCTTTTGCATGTTCAGCATGTTAAAGCGTAAAACTTTTTTTTTTGAAAATTATATTTTTGATTAATTAAAAATTTGTTTAAGGTGAAAAATAAGTTTAAAGATGTTATCGACTTTCGCTCGTGTAACACCGAATTTTAAGTTAATAAACGTCTGCTTTCGTGTGTCTGGTTATAATTTTAAAATCTATTTTTGAAGACATTTATTTTTATAATTTAAAGAAAATATTTCTTTTGCATTTCAATTAATTTAAAATATGAATTTTAACCTAAGTCAGATACAGGTTCCGTTCTTTCGAAACTAAACCAGTATCTCTAAATTAAGCTTTCGCAGTAACTATTTTAATTAAAAACAGTTTAAAAATCAATCCTTAAACAAATCCCTTTTTAATTATTTAATTTATGACTTAAATAAGAGCACTATCAAAATAATTAGTCAGACATATTAGTTACGTAAATGTTACGGTTATTAAATTCTATACTAAATATACTAAGTTATGTCTGACGTAGACTCTGAAGCTGAAGGCCTCAACATCAGAAGAGAAACATATTGTCTCTACACTAAGTTAATGTATCAGCTTCTGGTGAACATTCAGAGTTAGTAATAAAGTTTAAGTTATCCGTACTGTAGAAAGCAAGTTGCATTGTCAAATCAGTTTGTCAGCTAGAGTCTATGTTCACAAGGCTCAAGAAGAGTTGACATGTTTTACAGATGTTTACTCTCACCAGATCTATAGTACAAGATTACATGGAAGACGCAATGGTTAAACAAGTTACACAATAGATTAAGATCTTTTGGTGTATCTATCTTCAACGTCTCTTGTACTATGGAAAAACAAAGACACTTATTCAAGTTATCTCTTTCAACGGTTAGTCTTCTACAACTGATATATAAGTTGCTGAAGATTCAAACTAAATCTTCAATAACGAACAAGGAGCAAATAGAGAAGGAAATTCAAGAAGGATAAAAGTGTTTTACACTTCTATCTGAATGAAGGAATAACAAAATTAACAATAAGCAACACAATCAAGTATGCAGAAATTTTGTTATATGTTGTAAATTGTACAAAGCCTTAAGATTTCTTAAATATTGAATATCTTAGAAATATTAATTGTTTAAGGTCTTTGTTATGATGATTACCATGTACCTCTGATTTTGTATCAAGTACACCTTGTTCTCTATTATGCTAAACATGTTATTTAGTAGTTTAGATAAAGTCTCTTACTATGTGCTTGAGCATCAAAGTCTCTTGCTGAGAAACTTAAGCCAAGTAAGTCTCCTTATATATGCTAGATCATTAAAAGTCTTGATCAATTGTTGATTGAGCATAAAGTCTTAGACAGAAAGTATGAGCAGAAGTCTTGTACTTTAGAGTATGAGCAGAAGTCTTGGGTTTTTGGAACCTAAGCAAGGAAGTCTTGGATTGTGAGTCAGAGCAGAAGTCTTGAGTTCGTGGAACTTAAGCAAGGAAGTATTGGGCCTGAAGGGCTTGAGCAGATGCCTTGGGTTAGTGGAACCTAAGCAGAAAGTCTTGAACCTGAGGGGTTTAAGCAGGAAGTCTTGAGCCTGAGAGGCTTGAGCAAGGAAGTCTTGGATTCATGGAATCTAAGAAAAAGTCTTCGACCTGATGGATTTAAGCAGGAAGTCTCGAGCTGAAGGTATGATCAAAGAAAAATCTTATTCTTAAGTGCATGAGCAATTGTAATCATGATTTGACTATAGTAAAAAATCTCTTGTGCTGCAAGAGGACTAGAATACTCTCAGTTGGGAGAAACCAGGAAAAGTCTGTGTGTTCTTTATCTTTTATTTGCTTCTGTTAACATTCTGCTACAACGATTTAATTAGAATCTGAATATCAGTTAAGATCCTGAACTTTGATCAGAGGCAAAGTTAAGAAACGTAAAACACAAGTTAACCCCCCATTCTTGTGTATATTTCTCACCTTTAGTTGGAATCAGAGTCTGGTATGTGCATAACACTTAACAGTGGTGCAGATAATGATTCAATGAGAAAAAAAATGTGTGTTAAAAACTTTCCTTCAAGAAAGAGTTAAGTACCACATAAAAAATATTATATTATTAATCCTACCATATTCAAATGGGTGACTCTACTGAATTTAAATGATGGATAACGCAAAATATATTTTTATTTCATTAGTTTTAATAAAGGGTTTTAATGAAGGTCGATAGAATACCTTTGAGGAAGGTACTACTATAGAAGTTAATGGTGTAGGGATAATCAAAGTCTAAAAGTCTCTCACACCAGCTCAGAAAATGTTTATTCAAATATCTTTAGAGTTAGATGCATTCTGGTAGGTGCTCTATCTCATTCTGAGTACATCAACCTCATTGATATGTCTAATGCTCAAGACTATCTTTGAATCCTTGTGCTCTAATTTGAAGGGAATCAGGGAAAAGCTTATTAAGTTACACTTCATCTAATCTTTTAAGAAAATTCTAAGAAGTCTGCTTGCTAGTGTTAAAACATAAAGTCACATATACTCAAGAAGTCAAAAGTTTGAGTAGACGAAGTCTTGAAGGTTTTGATAGCATTCTTCGAAGAAAAGAAATGGAACTAGATGATGAAAAGGTATCAAACAGACTACCCTTCCTCAATCTCATTGAAAAAATTCTTTTGGAATGTTTGATGATCAAGAATTGACCTTCTCTATCAAAAGACCCTTTCAACTGGCTAAATGGAATGTGATATCTGTTGATAGAAGAGTAACTTCAGAAGCTTCTGAAATAATTTTATTTCAATTGATTTCCCAAATCTTAAGATAGAGGAGAAATATTACCAGAAAACCCCAAAAAGAAAAATGTTAGAGATCTTCAAATTTTATTCTAATGAAGCTAACATAGTTGAGGATTCTGAATCTGATGAAGAAAGTAATCAAGAATTTCTGATCATTACTTCTTCTGAATAACCAATCTGAATCTAGAAATAAAATCAATTATTAAAGAGAAAGAGATAACTTCCAATCTATCTTGCTTAAATATTGATAATATGGAGTCCGCATCTCAAGATAGTATCGTAAGTGATTCCATTGCTCATATGGAAATTGATGGCGATTATATAATATATATTAAAGGACAATTCTATGAGAAACTTTTCATTTTGTCTTCTGTTTCTAGCAGTACTATGACAATGTTGCAAACTATTTTATGTCAATTTCTAATAGCAAACACGATCTGAATCTATGCTTGTCAAATTTCAAAGTTAAAAGATTTAATCCAAGACTATGAAATCAAAGACTCTACTAAGAACAAGATTTTTTTGTAATGTCATTACTCATCCTAGACATACTCTGGAATGAGTCACGGTATTGCTACCAGGTTGAGGCATAAAGCAAAAGAAAGCCTTTCAAGACTAACAATTCTGGACTAATAGAAATATGAGTACCAATATCTAAATTTGTATTTGCTGCAAATATCACAGAAGAAAGGAGCAAGGTATCTTCCATGGTACTTATTCAAAAGTTGTTTATAATATTTGATGGAAGAATAACCTACATCCCAAACTCAGGTGCTAAAAGCATGAAGTTTGGTGAAGAAAGTGGAATCATTGGTTTAAAAGCCAATGAATTAGAATCCACAAAAGACTGTATTATGATTCTATGGTCAGATCTGAATATTCATCTGAAGCATGACTAATATTTAGAGATTCATCATTAATACTTGATACAACTTTAAAATTCAATATTTTTATTTTATTTTAATTATTTTTAAAAAATTTATCATGAATGAGTCATCGCAAAAGGAAAGAGTCTTTTATTTTTTATGAGAAGTTGTTTTAACTAACTTCTCATTTGCTTTTTTTAAAACCTCTAAATTTTATAACAAAAAAAATGAAAATTTTAAATTCTTTTTGTTTTAAAAATTGTCACAAACAAGTGCAAAGGTCATTTAAAAAATAAGTTTTTAAATATTAATAAATCTTTTTACAGCTGAATAATTTTAATTTATCGTTTTATTTTTGTTTTAAAATTTTTTATTTAAAATTCAAATATTTAATAAATATATTTAAATAACAATGTTTTTGTATGTCCAAGAACAAA